AGGAAGTCCTGCCAATGGCGGTCTTGAAGATCCCGGAACGAATCACTTTCCCCAGGTTGCCCCGATCACAGTACTCTGCGAGGAGGTAGGTGGGTGCAGCGGGGTGTGGAGTACGGAGTACGGCTGACCTGTCACATGGCTGTTGCGACGTGTAAATGTAGGGATTGTCGCCATTGGAGGAGGAGATGCTAAGAATACTAAATACGTATTGTCAAGTAAAGAGTATTACTTTTATTTGATGTGTAAAAAAATTAGATATGGGTTAATGATGACGTCGCCATGCGTGGTGACAGAACGACACCCCCGGGGCATCCAACGGCACGTGTGTACGACAGTAGGACATACATACTTGGGGCCAGAGGCCATTAGGGCCATCAACTTTCCCGAGCTCTAATTAATACGCCTTATGGCGATTTGGGTCACGAGCGTTTCAACTCGCAAGTGCTGGATGACCCATGGGTCATATCCAGGGCACGGGGAAAGGGCAAGAGGAACAAGCAACAACCCCCAGCACCTTAAAGAGAAAAAAACAAACCTTGCTCATTCACCCCTTCATCCCCGACCCCGCCCACTTTAGACCACCCGCGCAAAATCCCGTCCCCATTCCACCGCAACGCTCGCCGTCTTTACCCCACCAAGCTGTACGGCGGCCCTCCTACTGTACGGCGCCGTATCTACCTTGAATTAGCATCAGCAGGCCCTTGTTGGGCGCTGCTCCCACACGTGCCAACACGTCCTTCCAGCCCTGCCGGTCGTGGGAAGTCTTGCGTGGGTCACCAAGACCGTCTTCTGAAGGGTCAGGTCGGTCAACCGGGGGGCGCTTGTTGGATTTACTTTACTTATAAATGAGGGGTAAAAAGCAAGGGGGGGAGGGGAAGGGGAAGGGGAGGGGGAAGGGGAAGGGGAGGGGGAAGGGGAGGGGGAGGGGGAGATCCGACTGCCGAGTGCCGTCTTAAGTACCAAACCTGCTGTGGCAGATGCGTCCAAACTGCTGCAGGAGTGCAAAGTGGTGATCTTTAATGTGGTCACCGCCAGAGAAGGTTCCAGACGGTGCACACAGCCCAAGGGGGGTTAGGGGGATGAGGATCACGAGAGGCGAGGATCCAGGGGGCGGGGAAGTTCGACCCGCACATGCAATACCCGCGGGAGAAAAACATGTTTTGGGTTTCTCTGTTTGTGTTCAACGACAATCCCTCCATTTTGAACCCCTAAATCCCTTACCCCCGTTACCCCCACCCACCCACCAGAGGGGCCCACAGGAAGCTCGTCCATCTGCTGAACCTTCCTTCCAGCTGGCAGCTGACCTGGCTGTGGCTGTTGAGGTTTGGGTAGGGGCGAGGTCCACATCTTGTCGTACAACTCCTGGGTCATCCGGACACCCCGAGCTGTGTACGTGTGTACCACCTGGTGCAGTAAGACGGCCAGGCAGGTTTCTTTTCTTTTGGGGGGGGCCCGGAGAGGAGGGGGCCAGGCCATGCATGTGCGGGGGTGGAAGGGAAATACCCAGTAGCAAGCAACCGAGAAAACGATCAACTGGTATGCGTGGGGGCATGCGTGGGGCGGCGCGGGGCGGCGGACCCCCGGGCCCTGACACGGCGTTCTGGGGGCACCTAGGTGCACCACGTGGAGCACCCGGGGGGGTGAGAGGGGGGTTCAGGGCGAGAGGGGGTTTGAGAGAACACCCCGGGAAGAGTGGGGGGGAGAAGAGGGCGAGCCAGAGAGCGGACCGATGCCACCTCTCTCTCTCCTCCGCATGTGTGCACGTGTGCGTGCAGTGTATTCGCAGCTACGCGCTGCACACGGCACATTCGACATTCCTGCCTTGCGACATCCGCTCCCCGCTTGTTTCCGCGTGATGGCCTGAGGTCGGGTCTTACGTGGGGATGTCTTAGCTGGCAGGCCACGAACCCCTCTGTCCAGCCCGCGTGGTCGGGGTTGATGGTCGCCACTTTAATGGCCACATCGCCACCTTGGTAAACTCCTGAGGAGACGGGAGGTACGGTGAGCCACTGGCGAATGAAGCAGATATCAGAGATAGACGGATAGTCCAGGAGAGTAAGATAAATGCTGCATCACTGACCAGCGATGACTCGAGTAGTCTTGGCCGCGACGCGGCCAGCTTTTGGTTACGAGCTGGCAAGTCCGTAACGTCCAAAGAAGACAGAAGGCGAAAACGATGGAAGAAAAACTGCCTAGCCGCCGGGATGGAAGGAGAATCTCATAAAAGCAGAACAAGAACAGGAGCCGTAGAGGTGACGTGTAGGGCTAAACTAAAGAGGAGGGGAGGGGAGGTGGCGCCCGGAGGGAAATACTGACGAAGTGTGAGACGCAGTGGAGTGTGTGTGGAGGGGAGAGCGGGGGGGTGCGCATGCATGTGTCCCGCTCTTTTATCCGTGCATCCGTCCATCCATTCATGCACCCACTGATCCATTGGATTTATCTTCTATTCGACGAACACTTCCCCCACACCGCGGCGAGACCTCCACTGCCCCCGACCTCCACCACACCCTTTTATTCCCAGGTATATCCTACGTACCCCGATACACCACTGCGTAACCTCCGGCGCCGATGGCACTTAGAACCTGAACATCTTCGATCATCTCCTCGGGCGTCTTTAAAAAGGGGGAGTCCAGGGAGGGGAGGGGGGGACGGAAGGGGAGGGGGGTTTGTGTGTTTTCGCTCGCAGCACCAAGATATCCCCACGCGTCTCCTGCTTTCCCCGCTTCTCCCTCCTTTCCTTCACACCTTCCTCTCAGACACAAATAAATAAAGCTTAGGTCTTTGTGCTATTCGTCGCAGTGGGCAAGGTAATGCAGTTGGTTGCCGACTTGCCAGTGCCCCCCTGTCCGGATGGCCGGCTGTCCGGATGGCCGACCGAGCACACAACCAGACGCAAACAAGACGCAAAAAAAACCAAATCCACATCCGGCCCCGGGTGTTGGAATTGACAGGGAACAGCGACAAACGGCTTCCCTAACACTAGGACATAACACATAAGGCCCTCTACCGTAACCTGCCTAGACCCCGTCCTCTCCTGCGGCCGCCGAACCCCCATCCTCTCCACTCCGCAGTCAGCTCCGAGGCCAACTTCAACCCTCAAGAAACGGACGGCGGCCGTGTCAATCCGTGTCAGCCTTCAGCTCTCTAGAACCCACCACCACCGCCGCTTACTGATCCATATGCACAAGCTACACACAACCTCGCCAATACACGCGATCGTTTCAATCGCATCATAGGCAGGATGCCTGATTAAGACCTGTACAGCAGTCAACTCCAACCCCAGACGCAAATGCACCAACGACAGGGCTGCCCTCGTTTCGAACCTCTTCTTGCGCACTTTTCCTCACCTGCAAGATGAAGTTCTGCTGCGCAAGGGTGGGTCCTGGAAACATATTTATCGTCGTGATCATTAACTTGCGCTGCCGCTGGGACCCGGAGCTTTCAGGCTGATCAACCGAGGACCTGGGGATGGGGACCTGTGATCGGTCGGGCTGGTCCGGATGTGGCTCGATGTTTGTCTGAGTCAGGAGCGCGAGCTGCATGTTCCGCACGCCGGCTTCTTCTGAAGGTGTAACTTCAGCTGAAGAGGATCTGGCGCCGATGGAGCGGTTGTCGCCGCCATTTTCCAGCTCTGCAGCTTGCCTTGTCGCAGTATTGTTCGCCTCACGGTCGGGGACCGCTGTCGCTCCCACGGCGACATTTTCATCGCTTTCGCTTATTCCTCTCTGACCACCGTAGCAGATAGAATTTCCCATGTGAGCTCTTGCATTGACAGCGAGGAAGGGCAAAGGGTTGACTGACTAAATTTGTCGTCCTACGGCGCCGGTAGGCATAACCAGTTCGTATGCATGCAATCAGCAAACACTACACTGTTCTGTCTGGTCTTGTGACTTGCAGCGCGCTCTGGTATCCTGAACTCAGCCGTAATGTGTTACGCTGTACGGCTCTGACAAATCCCCAAGGCTTCACATGAAAGCCATGTGACTGCTGCCATAAAGGACCGATGCCTGTACTGATGTATTGATATTCTTTGAGCCAACCTCTCTTTTTGGGGAGCTCTTTTGCCCAGGAGATTTATATAACTAATGTCCAATTAATTGAGTCTGGACATCCAGTAAATACGTTGCACGGTTGCAAATGACACAGTTGGACAATGGACGCATGCTGCGTGAAAAGTTGTAACATATAAGGCGACCCCGTAACAAAACGCCGCGCGCCTCAGCTCCGTACCGGCCATTTCCCAAGCTACCCTAATCTCTCGAGCCTTGTTCCGCCTGTTAAAAATACAACTCTACTTTATTATCCCCGCTCTTAATACTGCTTCGAATGGCCGATGTGTAGCTGGGTAACCTCCCAGTCGCGGCTGTTGCGCTCTCCGCCATGTTTCTCTGACACTGCACGCCCGGCGGATATTGAGCTTCCTCTTCGTCAAATAACGGGATGTTTCCCTGCGCCGCCTCCGCCATGTGTGCCGAAGTTGCCGCTCTGCCGCTGTAACTCCGTCATTAGGGCTGCTTTCCTGGCCGACATGGTCACGTGCACGTGTCATTCACACACCATAAAAAAATGCAAGACATATACAAGCGTTCAAGGCAAAACTATCCCTTCCGCAAACTCCAACCGACTCGACTGCCAACTGGCCAATACGATTCCGCTGGATTTCCGGCGATCGAGGCTGAAAGACCAACCCGCAACGCAGCACATTGCGAGATTGTTTGGGGACAGCTTGGAAGATATCTGTGTGTTAGGGGTGGAAGATTGATAAAAAAACGTGCGCACCTTCTACACACCCCTTTAGTTCATCTTCTTCCCACTCATTTATAAGAACCCGGTCCTCCTCCCCGCACACATTGCATTGTCAAGGCACACACATACACACACACGCATACACACACATACACACACACGCAGGCACGCACGCACGCACGCACACACACACACACGCGCACACACACACACACGCACGAAACTGCCCTGCATGTCAAGAACCGAACACCTCATCAGGCATAAAGCATGCACAGCACAGCAGCCGTAGTACGAGCAGCGGAGATCGGCGACAGCTCCTGGTCGCCACAAATCTCCAGGTGTGGCACCGTCCTAGGAGAGAGAGACACGCGTGGAGCAGCTGCCGAGGAATTCTAATTGAAGATCAATTTAGGACGAGTGCGCGAGTACCATTAAGTGTGGTGAAGGAAAGGAATGAAGTGAATCGTCTCCTCCCACGATCTGTTGAAAAGCCGCGCTTGGGGGAACATCCGTGCCTTCAACTGCTGTATGGCTGCGGCTGTGATCGCAAAGCTGCGGGCGGGTATTGGTCGCATTCCAAGGAAATCTATCCACTATCCAGCAACAGCAGCAGCAGTAGCTGTAGCAGTAGCTGTAGCAGCAGCCGCAGCAGCAGCAGCAACTCTGCGGCTCCGGATCCGGCCTTGCGTCCCCAACCACCAAAACACACGCACTCGCACAAATACACGGGCGCAATCTCCATCCGCAGTTGAAACTAAGCAGGGGAGCAGGAAAAGCATAAACGCGCCGCACACAAATACGCGAATACGTGTGAATGCGTGTATATGCGTGCAAGGGTATGTTTGTGCACGTGTATGTCTGTATGTTGTGCAGAATACCAAGTGCCAACTTCCTGCGCGGTTGCAAAAGTGCGCGTCCAGGCTTACGTGCCACCCAACACGACTGCTAGTACGAGTTAACTTCTACATTTTTTTCAAATGTCGACAACAAATGCCCGGCTTCATCTTCGTCGTCATTGTTGTTGTCGTTGCCGTCCGTTAATCAACTAACTCGGCTGCGATGATGGGCCCCTCCGCCACACCTCCGCCATCCACTGCCGCCATGTGCACACCATCACCAGGCTCCGCCCCTGCAACACCCTGCGACTTTGGTTTCGCTGGCGACAGTGCCGATCGCGATGTTCGCATGCTCTCCCTTCGACCCAATCCAGTAGTAGCCGGCGCTGCCGTGGCCGCCGCAGCGCCGCCGCCACCGCTGCCGCCATCCCCCCCGCTGTCCTCGACACCTGGCGGCGCCGTTGCACCTGCTGGGGCATCCGTCAAGACTGCCGCCGCCGCCGAAGATCTCTCCTCAGCCACGGGCGCAAGGACCGTTGCAGCGGCGGGGACGGGGATGGGGACTGGGACGGGGGCGCAGATGCCGCCATCTGCTGCTGCGGTTGTGGGAACGGCGGCGGTGTCGGGGGCCGCGACGGCGGCGGCAGCAGCAGAGAGTACGCCAGGCGGCGGAGGAACGACTGTGCTGGCCTCCTGGCTCGGTCCGGGGCCGGGATTGGAAGCCTCGGGCTTGACGACGACGTGGCTGTCGCCCCCGCTGGCGGCGGTAGCATCACCTCCAGAAGCAACGACAGCGGCTTCCGCCACACCTGCCGGCGGTTCCGGAGCGGGCAGTGGCGGCGGCGGCGGCGGCGGTGGCGAAGGCTTTCCGGATCCGGTCAGCCCGCGCTCCTCCTCAGCCGCCAGTGCCCCCAACGGGTCATCCGACATTACCTCCGTCTTGGGCGACAGTAAGAACAACTCGCCGTGCTGTACGGCACCCCTGCCGCCACCTCCACTGCCGTCGACTGCGTCGCCGCCGCCTTGGCGGACACCTTGCTTGGCCACACCGTCAGCTGCGGCAGCAGCGGCGCTCGCTGTCCTGGCCCCGGCGTTGAACAGATCCAGTGTTGCCTGAACAGGCGCCGCTACCGCTGCCGCCGCCGCTACCCCGCCGGCGGCGCCTGACGATGACGACGACGACCGCGCACTTCGCGTGCCCTGCCCCTGCTGCCCCTGCTGCCCCTGCTTCTCCTGCAGTGCCAACACCTCCGACAGACCCTCCGAAGCGGAACGCGGGCGAGGAAGCCCTTTACCGCCGCCACCGCTTCCGCCAAGCGATGTCGGCGACGTCGTGGATGACGGCGCCGCCGGTTGTAACTCCACCGCCGTCCCGTCGCCGCCCCCGCCGCTAGCCCCCATGTCCTCCAAGGGGTGTCGGCTAGGTCGGGGATGAGGTTGAGGGGCGCTGGGGATGCCGTCAGATAAGGACAACAGCGGGTCCGTCGCCGCCAGCGGATCGACCACCGCCGCCGCCGCTGCCGCCGCCGCCGCGTCTGTCGTACCCGGTGCCGCCACCGTGGGTGAGTCCGATATCGCTGCAATACCTTCGCGAGCCCCGCCGCCTTCCGTTGCGTTGCCGCCGTCTCCGCTGACGCGGGTGAATGGCGGCGCCAGTGGCCCCGTGTAGTCGCCTGACGACCGTGTACTGCGTCCCTCAATCCGTACGCGAGTCCTGCATCCGTACACATGTATGCACATCCGTACATTAATTCCCGTGGGGGAAAGGAGCATGCGCCGGGCCAGTCATGAAGTGGGGCCGAGGGACGCGGAGGGCCCAGGGATAGAGACCTGCCTGAGAGCGGCGGCCGCAGTGGCTGCAAAGAAACAACAGAGCATGTATAACAGCCCTGCCCCGCCCCGCCCCGCCCCGCCCTGCCCAGCCCAGCCACACCGGAAGTATCTCCGCCTCCGCACAAAATGCTTCAGAGAGCACTTCCCTCCCTGGGGTGGTGGGGGGTACTTGAGCAGGTAGAAGTCCAGGGCGTACGTCCAGCCGTCCGCGTCCACCGCCTCGATATCCAGACCCTCCAGGTCGACCTGGAAGGGGTGAGCGGGGGTGAGCAGGATGGACGATATTGACAATACAAACATAAACCCAACAACTGAGGACGGCCGCAACAGGTGAGTGATATCTTCTAGAAGTCCAAAGGGGTTGGAGATCAGCGGGAAGGCGGTTCAGAAGGAAAAAGGGTTATACGGGGCGGGGCAAGACGAACCTGTTAACTGGCGAGTGAAGCAGATACCAGAAATAGGCGGATAACAGTGGGAGGACGAAAGAGGGAAGGGGGAGGAGGCGGAGGCGGAGGGCAAACAACCCCCCCAGGCAGGCAGACATGGCGTCATAATCAGATGGCCACCGCAGATCCCCAGATGGCAAGGCAGGGGCGTGTCAAAAAGCCCAAGTCAAGAGAAGCACGTACTTGCCGTACATTGGGCGCACGTGTGTGCTGTGCTGTGTGGGTCCCTGCAGGACAGCAGTCATCTCGTCCCCACCCCCGCCCACAACTCCGGCCCTACCCGTACCCACCACCATACGGCACTCCGCAAGCTACCCTATCTACCTAGCTGATAAACGTACCATACATACAGTTTTCCCTTCCGCCCGCTCCTCCCCTCTCCTCCCCCACCCCCCGACCTCTAACCCCCCCACCTGCCAGTCCTCCTCCATCCACCTCCACCCCCGGGGGAGCTGCGGCACCACCTGCTCGAACACCATACTGGCACTGCCACCAGGCTTACCCTGCAGAACGGGGAGGAGAAGGAGGACAGGAAGCGGAAGCGGAGGCGGCAACAGGAGGATCAGCAGCAGAAGCAGAAGCAGCAGGAAGCAACCAAACAAAACACAACACGACATGAGGCGAGACGATACGAAACTGACACACCGTAAAACGGGAGGGAGGCAAGGGAGGTAGACGTAGACTGTGGAGGTGGACGTGGAGGTAGGGGATGGCGGTATTTGGCGGCTGCTGTGGCACCCAGCAGTACCGGCACTAGTACCCCCCCCACCCACACACCCCCACCCACACACCCACCTGGCGGTCGCTCCAATGGCCCACCCTGTCCGAGGGCAGGAAGTGCCCCGGCCACTGGTGGCCCCAGCCGCGAAACGGCTGAAACCGCTCGTTCTCAAACACCTCCTCTACCACCAAGGCAGGCTCCGTCTCGCCGTAATACCCCTCCTCGTCGCCGCCGCTGCCGCCGCCGTATCCCTCCTCCTCCACCTCGCCAAACGCCAGCAACGGCACGTCGGACTGTACGGAAAACATGGACGGCGCCGCCGTCGCGCCCCCAGTGAAAGAGTAGTGGAGGCCGCCACCACCGCCGGCGACGGCCGCGGCGCTGCCGCGGCGGCGCGCCGCCGCTGCAGCCATTGCCGCCGCTGCGACGGCAGCTGCGTCGCTTGCAAGCGCGCCGCCGGCTTCACTGCGCGCCTTGAGCTTCGTGAGATGGTACTGCTGGCTGGGGGCAGAGAAGCTCGGTGAGGAGGCGGAATCTGGGGAGCCCACATCCGCCAAGTCCGACGTCTTGACAGCGTCCCAACGGAACGCAGCTGTACGACATGATGCGAGGGGGGGATGGGATGGAGATTGAGAAAAGAGATAAGAGATGGGGTCGTGTGCGCGGGGGGGGAGACGAGGGAGGCCACGAGGGCACCTGAGGGGGCTCAGATAGATATATCGAGTATAGCGCGAGCGAGCGAGCGAGCGAGTGTAAAGGTGACTCATGTGGGAGCGGGAGGTTGAGGGGGGAGGAGGCGTTCCCCTTCCCTTCCCGAAGTTGATGGGGGGAAAAAGGGGGAGAAAGGAACCAGCCGTGCCGACCGGCCGGCAGCTGCTGCTGCATTGAGGATGGTTCGTGGTCGTGTACCAAGGAAGCCGGGCAGGGGACGTAAGGGGCTGGGCTGTACAGGGGGAGTTGCGGAGGCTCGTGGGGGCCCAGGGCAAGGGAATGAGGGTCAGTTGGCGCTCGAAAGAAGCCGATGAAGGGAAGTGGTGTGTGTGGAGGGGGGAGAGAGGGAGGGAGATGTGAATGCAAAAAGGTTGTGTATTTTTCGGGGTGTTGAGGCCGGCGGGTACGACGAAGCTCTCAGGCGGTACAAGGATGTTTTAGGAGAAGTACGGCATCAGGAACTTTTACTAACCCACGACTTGAACATAAGAGGTGTTGGCGGGGGGAAGAAGATACATACATACGTACATACCGAGACACACTCACATCTCAGGCTCTCCGCCATCGCGTCCATGCCCTCCCGAGTGAACATGTTGGCGAAGGTAGTGGTGCTAGACAAACCGCTGCCAGCCGCGGCGGCGGCGGCGGCGG